AATTCAATCTCATTTGTTATGGGATTTCCTCTCTTTTCTAGATTCCCTATCAAGGACCATTTCAGGACAAGTTCTTTCAGTCTCTTACTCATCTTTTTCCGGATACTATCTCCCAATTTTGGTTTGTCATGCTAATAAATTGAAGCATGGAGGAGTCTTGGACACCAAAACAGGGTAAAAAACAAGGACAAATTATATTTAAGAAAATGATTAGTATTTAATTTGCTTAATTATTTCTTCAACCTCATAGAGTGGTGGGTAGGAAGGAAGTTATAGGCAAATAGGTATAGGGGGGAGAAAGGGAGAATAAAAAGAAAGAAGCAAAAGAAAGAAGAAAAAGAAAGAAGAAGTAAATGGCAAGATTTATCATGGACTCTCTATGTTTATTTAAAAAGTACAAACAAGCTGTTTATTGCTAAAATTGTACATAAAAAGTGACACCATTTTCCTTATCACAACAATTACCAAATGCTACTGTTTCCTCTCTCTCTCTCTCTCTCTCCCTCCCCCACACAAAGCCAACTGGCAAATTTGATTCATCCACAAAGAGATAAAATAACAAGGCCAAAAGATAGAGCAAAGACAAATGTAGTCTAGGATTTGAATGTGATTTGTTTGGTTTTTTTCTCCCTCTAACTTGTATTTATATAAACAACAACATCAACAACAACAACATAGAGAGAAAGAAAGGGAAGGTGCCAGAGCAGCTAATTGCACTGCAAAATCTCACTCTCTTTCATCACTGTTGTAGTTTGATTGGTCAAGGAGGGTGGAGATGAATATATCACCATCACAATGCAATAGTGGTTGTGAATCTGGGTGGACACATTACCTAGATCAGTCCTATTTCTCTCAAAGTCAGTTCCAGAGAGCTGGGGGCATTGCTGATTATGAGGGAGCAAAAACAGAAGTGGAGGAGGAAGAAGAAGAGGACCTGTCAATGGTTTCTGATGCTTCTTCTGGACCTCCCCATTACCATGATTTAGATGAAGACTGCTTGTATGAAAATGGATGCTCTTTTTCTGTTTCTTGGGGTTCCAAATTGGGAAAGAAGAGCAAGAAGAAAGGCAAAGAAAGTGGCAGAGAACAGCATCTTGATGATACTGCTAGCTCTCCAGTCCTCAACTACTCTAAGGCAAATTCATAGAAACATGCACTGATGCATATAGTTATATGCATTAATACTCATATTTGTATATTTACATAAATGGGTTCTTATTTTTACAGAAAAAGTTGCGCCCTCTCTCCAAGGATGAATCTTCAATGCAGAATGTATTGGGTTACTCTGAGGGTTTCTCTGCAACACATATGAAGGTTCTTTTTTTTCCCCTAATTCTCTGTTTTCTTTTCCCCCCTAATTCTCTGTTATATTATACTGTCCTCTCATGAATGTGGTGACAATTTTCGTTTCTTACAGGGGAAATCTGCATTGCTGCAGCATTTTGGTTTCTTGAAGTCATCTCTAGCCAAAAGTCCTGCTTCACAAAAACCAGGTGAATCCTTCGTTTGAATAAATCAGTTCCATTTTGACTCAAACTCCCAGAAGCAAAACAAGAGTTTGACCGTTCCAGGTACCTAATTTTACTGACCAAATAGAAAGTACCTAACTTTATGTCCTGTTTTGTTTTGTCACAGGTGATTTCCGAGAAGGAAGCTGGGAGTGATATATATATGCAGATGATAGCATCCAACTATTTCCATCTGCTGCTACAGTTGGGAAGAAACTAGAAAGAGATTGGAGGAACAATGTAAAAGATAAAGGCAATTAGATCTCCAAAGATCATGTTACTTACCTTCTTCTTCTTTTTTACTGTATTTCTTTCCAATCAAATCCATTTTATTTCTTCTTGTCAACGCAGTGGGAAACAACCTGAGGCACATAAAATATTCATAAATTTTCAGCCTCCGGTTTTCTTCTTGTCAAATTGTCTTCAACGACAGTCACGTAATAATGTCTTCTTTACATTCCTACGTGCCTAGAATAAAATAACGAAATAATGCCGCAAAAAAGACTTTAAAAAACATAAAATTCAGAAAACCAGTGATCTGTAGAGTATTTTGCTTTTTTTTTTTAAAAAAAAAAATTATGATACAATGTTACATATAAATGGAAACGTTTGACAACCAGGAGGATCACAGAGCTTAGGTAAAGAGGGCTGAAGGAAACAGAGTAAAGCTTATTATGGAAAGAATCTGTGGTCCTCTCAAGAGCAGAGTGATGAAGCATTTTCCATCTATAACCAGATAGCCATTTGCACCCACCCACCCGCCATGATTAAGCATTCCAAGGCCAAAGCCAAAGCCAAAGAGCAATAAATGACCCAACTTTATTCTTCCTCTTCTTCTTCTTCTTCTTGTTCAGCCTGCCAGGCTAGCTTGCAACAACTTTAGATGGGTACTTTCGGGTTTAGGGTTAGAAAAAAGACAATTTCTGTGATGAAAGGAACCAAAAGGTAAGCTTCATTTTCAACCAAAAGAGGCACCCCACCACCCTTGATAGCTACCCACCAAGCATATCATCCATAAATTATATTGGTGCAATTATTCAATTTGTTTTGGGGATTTCCATCTTTAATGATTTTTATTGAAAGGGTAGCTGTCCTAAAATTTAGCACTCCATATCTTGGAATGAGACTCAGATATTTTTATTTATTGAAAAAAGAAAAAAGAAAAAAAGTCGAGACCATCTAGCTCCCTATCTGGTGGATGATGGATCTTCATTTCTTGTACTGCTTGTTTCATATGATAAAATTATCAAGTACAGTTAATAGAAGATTCCCAAAACTGCAAGATACATCAATTATCTCTAATTAATGCTTGGCAAACAGGTTACAGAACCAATATGAAAATCTGAGACTGAACTTGGATTTTCTTAAATTGCTATTTTCACTCAAGGTAGCACGTTGGCACCATTAGAATTCCTTTGAGCTCGAATTTTACTTCATGAAATTGCGGTTTTTTTATATATATATTTTTAATTCTGTGCAGTCTGCATGCAGCGGAGACTTTGGCCGACATCAGTTGAACTATTTGCCCCTTATGACATAAAGAACAAGAGTTGACATTTTTTATATAAACAAAATATTGATAGATATAATGTCAACCACTAATAAAAGCCCTGTTTTATTTATACAAATTTATAAATAAACCCAATCTTAAACATGTATTTATAAAAAAACCCAAGTACTATTTAAACATAGAAACACACCCAAAATCAACCCCAAAGTCAACTTTTTGGGTGTGTTTATAAATGGGTTTTGAGTGTGTGTAACGATGGGTTTTGGGTGTGTTTATAAAGTGTTTTGGGTGTTGGGTTTTTTTATAATTTCAACCTCAACCACTAATAAAAGCCCTGTTTTATTTATACAAATTTATAAATAAACCCAATCTTAAACATGTATTTATAAAAAAATTCAAATACTATTTAAACATAGAAACACACCCAAAATCAACAATTGTATATTTTTTGGGTGTGTTTATAAATGGATTTTGAGTGTGTGTAATGATGGGTTTTGGGTGTGTTTATAAAGTGTTTTGGGTGTTGGATTTTTTTTATAATTTCAACCCCCATTTTGGGTGTTTTAGTAAAACTCCCTTTTATTTATGATTAGAGTATCATAAAATTGTGGAATGAAAACCTTATTCTTCTTGAAAAGTTTTCCACATTCTTCAAATTTGATTCGGTTGGAACACAACAAATCGTCTCACTCCCAGAATGGATTCATATACAGCTTTGGAGTGTGTATAGATTGTCATAAATCCAAAAGATCAAAAATCATATTGCTATAAGAAGGCGTACACATGAAATACAGAAATCTAAAAGAATTGGAAGGCAAAAACTACTTTTAACTGGTCAACAGGAAAATTTCGAAGAATACAGTTACACAACATGCTTTAGCACCCCACGTTTGATCTCCCCAAAAAGGCCAAACCCTCTATGACATATTATTATGTCCCGAAAACATGTCTGTGTACAGGCGCAGTGTTGAAAGATTTAACCACTTCCATCCAGGGTTTGTCTATCATCAAAATAGAACTTTTGGAAAGATGTCCCACAAATAAAGCTGGATTTGTGAAAGCATAAAATTCAAAATTCTTCCTAGCAATAAGTTTACTCTTAGCTTGACTGTCTGTCAATTTACGTTTTAGTCTCTTCCCATTAATGGAATTACTTTGCAGTCCGTTTGGCATGTCACTTTCATCGTCTCGATCAATGGGCATCCCAAAGTCAATCCAGCACATTGCCCTAAAGCATAAGAAAACCCTGAAATTAGATATATCATATAAACTGATATCCCCAAAAAAGACTCTACGCTGCAGAACTTCCTAAGCAGATTGCAAACTCAAGGGGCACACAAGACTCAGCCACAAGTCATAACGCAGTTAAAAATTTGATTTGGTCATGGAATGGTATGGCACCCCAATGCCATGCCCTTGCGGGCATATATGGCTCAGCCTTCATATCAATAGTGACATGACATACTATTCCTACATGTAACTCCAGGATTGAATTGCAGGAATGGAAAATGCAGTTTGTTCATAATACCCTTGGCATGTAAGTCTAATGCCTAACCTGGATTAGGATTCAAAGCAAGGGATTCTCATTTGATTTGTTCATATTAGTAACTTCCAAGGTTCTAAGCTCTTTAATATAAATCCACACAAATCACACCTCATCCACACAAGGAAGGAAAAAGGAGCGCACCTGGAACTGTAAACAATAACAGAAGATGAACTTGTGGAGGGTGGGAAAGACATCCCAATAACTTCGCCTGGAAATTCTTGGAATCTCTTCGGCAGAACATTCGTATGCTGCTTCGACCAGTCTCCCAGTGTCCTTTCCTCAACATCCAATGCATATACCTGATTTGAGGAGGTTGTGATTACAAGCACATTGTTGTTTTGTGGAGAAAATCCACCAGCTGTCACAGAGGCACTATCTAGTCTTGAAATGAACCAGTGCTGCCTGTTTTACAAGAATAAAAAAAGAGTTAGAATAGAAAATTGGCCCCAAGTCTCAGTAAAATATTTATAAATAACGAGAAAGAATGTATATTTAATGACAGGCCGGCGAGGAAAAAAGGATTGAAGTATAGTTTCATACCTCTGTATCTCCAGATTGAATACATAAATATCTCCAAAGCAGTTGATGGCAGCCAACCACTGCCCATCAGAACTGGTAAACATTTTTGTTATGGGAGGCTCACTAGGTGGTAATTCTTGATCATGCAACTCACGGCAAGGGGTAAACCTGTGTACTAGTTCTGCTCGGCTCACATCCACTACCTGCAGCATTTAAAATAAGTCAAGCAACAGAAGCCAGAACATTTAGGTGATGAACACAAGTTTTTGCTACAAAGAATGTGCCCAATCAATATTTTTGCTAATTTTTAATGGCAAATCATGTCTCAAGAGTCTGAATGATCAAGCTCTTTGGAATTGCTAATAGCCTCACCTAAGAGTTAAGTGGATGCTGATAATTTTGCTTCAAAGGCTCAAAGATTAAGCACTGCCTAAAAATCAGAATTCTTTTTTCAGAAGTGAATTAATGTACAAATACAATTTCAATATTGAGTATATAAAACTGAAAGCAAGAATTAAAACTTAAGAAATCCATGCAAATATCCACAACATGTTGCAAACACCAATTAATTATAGTTGTCAACTGACACCCAAACGCAAAGTTGCAAAAAATGTTCCCCATACTTCTATGAAAAGGAACCAAAAAAAAGAAGCAAATAGGCCTTGGCAATTACAGATAAATCCATGAGTTAAAACTTAATCATGCTCTAAACCTCAAAACGAGCAACCTATCAGTCTAGTGAGGAAGTAAGTTTATCTACAAGGTTATTGCCAAATCCAGGGCAGAAGCAATGGATGTGGCACCTTCTGAAATTCTCGCTAGTCACCAAGAAACTGAGCACGTTATAATCAAACCCCCCAAAAAGTTTTTCTTCAATGAAGGAGCATCATAAAATGTAAGGGAGATGAACTAAAATAATGAAACAAGAGATTAAACAGAGCAACAAAAAGGGATAGCTTACGTATATTCTTCTATCATGTCCTGCTATGATCAAGCGAGAAGAATCAAAACTAAAAACCATGGAATGGGCAAACGGTAGTTTCTGAGGAAGTGGTCTTTTATTAACAGTCAATGCACTTTTGCCAACTTTACACTTCTTCAATTCAAATAGGCTAGGTTTCACATGGTCAGAATAAGCAAAAAGCACCCCCGTATTAGAAATTGTGCTGCAAATGATCTTCCGAGATGCCTTACACTTGACTCTAGCCAGAAGATCCGTTGAGGCTAGGCCCACAGAAGGGCCACGAGCCATATCAGAAAAGGCACCACTTTTTGTACGTACACACATGATATCTATCCAACTAGAAGCTTGAACAAGAAGCAACGATGTTTGATTGAATGATGTATTAAGCGCCAGTTGAATTGATACTCTCTGAGGTGCTGGGCAGATATCATGAGGAGAGAACTGTGTGAACTCCTTAACTGGGTAGGCGATCAGCTTTGTATCATCACCAGCAGAGATAAGCATGGGAACACCCAAATGTGCCCATTTATGATAACTAAACTCAGCAGGCTTTTCCCTATGGCGGTCTCGACGGGCTCTTTTTATACCTTCATCTGGCAACGGATCTGCGAGTTACATAACAGTTCAATTTAAGAACTGAAACAGTTAAGACATAACAATGGACATAAATAAAAGTATATCAATTAATTGATGAAAATAAACCTCAATTTTTTGTGAAAAAGGACAACATA